GGGGGGGGTTGAATTGAATGATCAATTATTAGACCCGGACGTCCCAACACTTGCTTCGCAAGACAAACTCAAGGTATCCCCTAAAGGGCTACCTTTCGTGACATAGTATTTGGTGTTAGAGCAATCTTTGTATAGGTCCGTTTTTGATGGGCTGACCGCAGAAACAACCGGACGCATGGATGGTGCAGCAGCACATGCTGTGCTTTCTCCGCGCTGCGCGCGCTGCGCGGCGCTGGCGCTGCAGGAGGTGCTTTGGTCTTAATGAGCATTGTGATCGAACAGCTTCCCTTCCTCTTGCCCATCAACCACAAGGCAGTGACGGAGACTGAGACTTCGTAACATCAATCACTCAAAAGCTGTGAAGAGTCGCCAGACAACAGCGTACTTGTTGTTTCTTACTTCGACCTAAAGGGCTCACAGGGTGTTTTTTCAGTCTCGAAGTAAGAAAGACTGCACGTAGCTCCACAGGATGTTGCTGGTTGGAGTGAGGTGTGTTGGTGGAGCTCACAGGTTGTTGGAGTCATTCAATTGAATAAACTATACTTTTGAGTTCCTAATAGCGATGGCCTCCAACCTAATAGATCTAATAGCTAATAGTGATGGCCTCCAACCTAATAGCAATGGCCTCCACCCCATTAAGGTTGTTGGAGTTATTTTCCTGTTAAGCTTGCTGATGAAAGCAGACTCCCACGCCCAGCCTGCTTGTGGGAGGCTGTTCGCTTTGTGGTACGTAGATTAAATCAAAGGCAACGAGTTGGTCACTGTACTGTGGGGTGCCTTATGCGAAGAATGTAGGAGCCTCATGACCAGATGCCCTGGTGAGAGGCTGATTACAGATCATCTTCAAATCAAAAGACGGGTATATAGTAATGTAGACTCTGAATAAAGCACCCAATTGAAATGGACAATCCTCGTCATATGTGTTTTTTTAATCAAGAGTCTACAGTATTATACGTATATTTTAAATCTCAGTGTAAATCTCCATTGACTGACCAGATGCCCTGTTTGCGGTTCTTGCACAAGTGGGGCACAAAACAGCACGAGCAGTGTGTGTATAAGTGTGTGGACAAGCTCCTGTTTCTAGAAACTCTTTGCTCTTTGGAAACACCGATGGCATTTTCGGCGTCGGAGATTTGAGGGGCCTTTTGGGAGCCGACCTGGGGCCTGGGGTGGAAAGGTGCCTCCGAGCTTCCTGGAGTCGACCTGGAGTCTACCTCAGAGTCTCCTCATAAGAAAGTACCTGTTTTGGGGGTTCGGGTCATGTACCATTTTCGATTGCAAAGGAAGTCGTCCAGGATTCCAGAGCTGGACTGCTGGCAGTACTGCTGGCAATCGCTGGGTTCTGAGCCATCATGTGACCCCCGGTTTCCCCGGGCACTCCCAGAACTTTGACATCCACACCCACCGTGCGACACGTGTGATGAGGGTGAGTGACCGCTACTGAGCATCGAGAGAGTGATCTGGGTGATCGTTGGGCTCGTTTGGCCTATTAAGGCCGTTTGGATTGATCAATGTGAGGGGCCTTCTAGTCGCAACTTCCCCTCCAGTCGAAGGAGCCGGTTACAGCGAGCTCAAATGCAAACAGGCTGACCTTCCCAAGCCTGTTGCTGCTGTGTTGAGGGTGGTGCAACAGGATGCAATTGGACCCTACAACATATATAGATAAGTAAATCAGTAAATGGCACAGAAACTGTACATTTCATCACACCGCTACCGCGACTTGCCCTACAATTGTTTGTCTTCGCCAGGTGACTGCTGTGTTGAGCTGCATCGTAGCCATTCTCTTCTGCTTGCTCCCAAAGAAGGTGGGGGGCATTTGGGTGATTGATGGAGTAAACATGTGGGAGGAAGATGAAGAAAGAGTTCTCCCACGCGAGAAGGCGAAGCATTGATTGAAGACCCTGCTGTTACAAATGCCAGGGGTTGAGAGCCTTTGGGTGGTGGAACATTTCTTCGCCCCAGCAGTTGGCAGAACATGAGTGTCGAAGACGGTTTCTTGGGCAAGAACCAATGTTGAAGACGCTTGCTTTCCTTGTATAGAGCATTTTGAGGATTCTGAAAAGTCAACTATATGGTAGTCTTCTGAATTTTTAGTTCGACATCAGGCTACACACCTTGAGCCACAGGCCCCTCTGCAAAACGGCAAACATGTGCAGGAACTGCCGAGATATGCTGGCGCTGTTTCTCTTGAACAACGGACCCCTACACCAGCACGATCTGTCATGTTTTTTCTTCCTTGAACAGATCAGATCAATGATTAAACTGTGGCGAAAGTACTTCCAGAGGATATCGTCTTTAAGGGACATTGTCAGGTCATGAAGCCCTTGGGTAGGTGGAACGGGATATCCTCAAGTCAAGACCTGTGATGACCATCGAGGCCTTCTCCTGGATGGCCGTCGTTGGGATGGCTTCCCAAGTCTTCCTGGTCATGGGCTTGGTGATCACTGGCGCTTTGGCAGACTGTGGGATGACGGATGACCAGTAAAGCCTGGACCAATCCCTACAGACGTCCAGTCCCAAGCCTGGTCGACCTCCTGGAGTCCTGTTTTTGGATGACCAACCTCCAGTAATTCATGAGGTCCGTTCACTGCCCGGTAGGGAATGGACCCATGAACAACTTCCCAGACCAATCCATGAGAGTGGGTCTGAATAGATATGTGGCCCAGCCTATACATACTTTGGGATCTTTCTGTGTTTTGTATGATGTTGGTTAGGTACACACCATAGAAGCCAAGTGCAGAACGGATTCCAATGCAGAACGGATGAACGGATTCCGGTTGGACCCACGCACGTTGGTTTTTCTGTGTGTTGACATGTCCTTTTTCGGTGCGGTGACCGAAGATGGCCATCTGTTTGTCCAGTTCTGAGGCCTACAACTCCATTCTGCTGGCGAAGTGGCTGAAGACCAGGCATCCGGTCCTCTTTGGATCTCTATGGGTCTGTGGGTTGGAGTTGACAGATACCGTAGTAGCCAGGTTGGTCCTCTTTGGATCTCAGCCACTTCTTGATGGGGTGAGGAGTTGAAACATACAGTAGTAACAAACCGGCCAACCGACCTTCCGTCGTGTTTGGACGGTTTTCCCAGATTTGGAGATAGATGTTTCTTGACATTTCCTGGTGAGCCCAGTTGGGTCACCGTGTTCGAATCCAGATTCGCCCAAAAGCATTTACGGTGGTTTCAGAGGTTCGATGTCACTGGCACAGCAGGAGGTTTTGTGAGATGGGGGGGCCCATATAAGTTGGGGAGTGTGCCGTCTACTCTGAAACCACCGCCAATGCAGCATCATGCAAAATCACCTTTCCTTTGGATGAAGGTGATGTGGTCCATCGGTATCTCTCCGAATCAGAAGATCTCAGAACTGGGCATGCAGACAGTGTGTTGTTTCCTTCAAAAGTCATTACACTCGATTTGAACCGATGAGCAAATAATCCGGCCAAGCAAGATCAGAGGATCATTCACCAACGCATGTGCAGTGCCAGAGAAGCCTTATTTAGTGCAGTGTCCTACTCTCCATGCGTGTCCTAGCACTGCCTAACTGACGTTGCAAATGCTCCAGAAGCAGCGAGTGTTTACAGATGCAATCACCAAAAACCTGACAAAAATATAGCACTTATAGCACCAAAACTCGCAACTGGTCGCCTATGTGCTCGCAACCTGCCACTTTGTCGCAGGAGATGAAGGTCGGAGTGACCCGCTAGTACCACAAAGCCCAGCAACCAGTTTATACGTGAATTCCTGCACTGCCTTTCATCCACAGTTCACAAGGTCTTCTTTGCAGAAAAGTATTTCTTGGAACACTTCCAAATCTTTTCACGAAAGGTAGCCCTTTAGGGGATACCTTGAGTTTGTCTTGCGAAGCAAGTGTTGGGACGTCCGGGTCTAATAATTGATCGCTCAATTCAGACCCCCCCCCCC